ACAGAAACAACTTTATAACATGGAGAACTTAAATCTTAGACAACCGCTATAATTTATTTTGTATTTATCCAATTACACCTAGAAAAGTGTGCGTTCTTAGATAGATAAACTGAATAAAAAGCATATTGCGGAACATTCCAGGCAAAGCAATAACATCTCCATGGAGACAAGCATACGAAAAGTTACCGTTACCACCTCAATCTTGAAGCTGCCCGTGGACATACTTACAATTTGAGCTAAAATTTCAATAAACCACAAATTGTTCAGCCTTATTCTGATTTTTAAAGACGACGCAGGTTGAAAAAACGATGACACATTTTCACACGTATTTATTTGAAAATATCGTCAGAACGTTCGCTGTTTAAAAGGTCGCACTTTTACCAGCTTAGACGCCATACATGACCAAACATTTAAACATAAAATTAAAAGTATAAATCAAAACCGACAGGACTTCGAATGGAGCGTCACGTCCTGTTTCCCCGATTTCTTTATCGCTCCACTGCTCCATATATTTCTATTTTCTTGTACAAATCTGTGTTGACAATTCAATTCTGACTATAGTATTTAAAGAGGACTATTTTGGAGATGCATTTTTATTTTTGGTGTTCGTAGGTAAATCTAAGATAAGATAATAACACTTCGATATGAGCCGAAAGCTGAAGAAAGGTCTATTACTTTACGTGAAGTATTATAATATCTATTTTCTATATGGTAAAGAGGGTCTATGTACATTTAAGGTTATGGTGGATGGGTGTGATTGGGAAAAAGGAAGCTTGTGTTGATTGTCTTAGCAGTTTATTATCGACAAGTTTCAGTTATTGTCAATTTTTTTTGTTACCGAAGTTACGGGGCTGATTTGAGAATAATCAAAGTTGACGATTTTGTTTCACTAAAGGCGCTGTACCTGATTTTTACTGTCTTAAAAACGTCAAAAAATAGACCTAGTTCATTTCATTTTACAGTTTGCAGTCATCCAAAGCTGTTTCTTACTTACTTTATCTATTCAGAGCATCCTAATTATTCAGTTTATAAGCTTTTTTTGTTGAGATTATGAAAAAAAATCAGGTACATGTCTTTAAATACATTATATAAAGGGGTTATACTGTTAAATTATTGATTCACAAATTAAATTATTAGGACTTATACCTCGAAATACATGAAAAGTAATCGCCAAAAAGTAGAATAATACTAAAGGTGCACTGCGTAACATTTCTAGAAAAGCATATGCCACCAGATGTTATTGCTTCAACAACAAACATGTCAAACTCAGGCCCCCGAGCCAAATTTGGCCCTCGACATAATTATATTTGGGCCGCGAGATCATATCAAATATGTATTAGAGCTGAACCGCTAGTTACAGATCGACTATAGAGACATTATTTATTTAAAATTTTTTATTTTTTTTATATTTTGCTTGTTCTGGATTCAATGTTTAAGCAAAATTATTATTAAACATTTATTTCAATAAGAAAAGGTTTAACATTACATATCTCGAATGAAAGGAAAACATGCATAAAACACTTAAAAACATATTTAAAAAATTACGTTTGGCCCACGACTTAGTTCCAGTTTTTAATTTTGGCCCTCCTCCCTGGAATTTGAGTTTGACACCCCTGGTCTAGAATGTTCCACAATATAGATTAAAGACCTTTCTAGCACGAAAGAGACTCTACACTACATTACAGTTCAGATCTGTGGATTCACAGAAGGAATTACTGTATTTTTGATCAATAGAAACACCCGTGATGAATAAATGCTAGATGGATTTTTTTAAAGACATATCATGGAACATTCAAGCAGAGGCGATGCTAAAATTAGGTAAAAGTAGATGACTTCTTAGGGCCCCCAAACCTGAAGGGGCCCCCGACCAATCACCCTCAGTGTCACTAATGGTCAAGACCTCAGAGCAATTAGATTTTCTCTCAATATGAATATGAATATTAAATGAGAGTATTTTATTTTTAAACAATAATCATAAGAACTACTACTACTTTCAGTTCTGGTTTTCTAGTAGGCGACCGAACTAATCAGACAAGTTTCCAATCGACCAGAATTCAAATAAATACAGATGTACAAGACTCAAGAATTATGGGGGAAAACAGACAATAAATATATTTAAAAAAAAAAAAGAAAAAAAAGTGCATTATAGTGAGGCCCCCAAACTCGAGTTCTCCTTGGGCCCCCAAATTGCTGTCTCCGCCACTGCATTTCAAGCAAAGCAATAACATCAAACACGTGGCAGATCCTCCACCAGAAATGTTACACAATGTACCTTTAACAGAAATAAAAATATGTTTAAAATAAGTAAAACTTTAGATGCATCCATTGGTGTGGTTAGAAAATGCAGGGAACGAACCAAAACACAACTCAAGTTCTGACGAAGGAACAGCATTTTAGCCTCTTTATACACAAAATATTACAATTTAAATAACGCAATCACAGTTTTCAAAAGTTTTACATTTTATTTATAACTCAGAAGTGTTGAGTTTTGTTGCATGATTTTCGGCGCATGAATGGTTTTTGAAGGAAACGGGAGAAGTTAACGAGGCCTTTTAGCCCCTTGTTTAATGTAGGTTTAGATTTTAAATAGGATAGAAAGACGCCCCCATTTCTGTCGTAGCAAAACACGAGAGTTATCAAGACTTTTTATCATTTTTGACTTAATTTTGTTGCATTTTTAATCCTCGAACCAGTCTGACACAGAGATAATCGGGTAATGTTGGCGCTCGGGGTGCAACAAGTTTCAATTTTAGTCGTTTGTAAAAAGAAATTATGATTTTTTGGAGGTGTATTTTCTCAATTTTCATCATTCTTCACCAACTCTTTGCCAATTTTGTATTTGATTTAGGTTTTATTTATAAACCTAAATGCTTGTACACACACGTGCGACTTTAGTCCAGCTTAGTTTTAAGACTAGACTGGATTAGAATTCGAAAATTCACAAAAATACAAAGTTTGCCAGTCTTAGCAAACGTATAGTTAAGCCATTTGCCTTTTTCTGTGTCACTGGTTTTTGGATTTTAATCGTAACAAAAATATTCTACACATTTTGATTCAAATAATTTCTATATTCTTATTTCTCTCTCGTTTACGTTGCACCATGAATGACTTTTTGAAATGGTCCTTTCTTGAATGTAGGCCATGTTAGAGATCATATCCACATATTTGAAAGTATAAAACCTCCAGTTCATCTTCAAATCTACATTGAAATAAGAGTTTTTTCGTCTTTTCCATGTTTTTGATGAAGACTTTTGTTGGCCTCTTCAGCAGCGTGCATGCACTCATTTGATATGCAGCCTCTAATGCCCCAGCGGCACTAGAAACATTCACACATGTAGATGTAGATGTAGTTTGAGTGTCGGGCCTCAGCTGTGAGTCCTGTAGTGACGTTTGTAAAAGTCTGATTTCTGATTAAAGCCATCAGTGCGACTGTGTGTCTGTGACGTTCAGACGAGGCGGAGCTTCGTGTAGTTCCCGACAGCACTATGGGGTCAGAGGTCACGTTCTGTTACTGCTGTAGCTTCGGAGGCAGGCGGCCATTTTGACTTGAGTTGTTCGACATAAGCCACTCCCCCTCGCCTTTCAGAGGGATTTCATTGGTCCTGAGGTTCCAGTGCGACTGCATGGGCTCAGTTTCTCCTCTTTCTTTTCTAAAGGAGAGATGTTGATTATTTTGATTCATTCATTTCTTCATTTTAGATTTTAGAAAGGGAAAGAATACAAAGTAAATAAATCTCGAATATGAATTCAATCACTTTTCTACGCCTATTTTCAATAAAAAGTGAAATAAAAACCAAACAAAAAGTTGATTTGTAAATAGGTAATGTACAGTTTGTATCTGTAAGTTGTCAGTCTGTCATTGGTGACAGAGTCTGTCTTGCTTATAACGCACGCTACCAGTAAATAAAAAAGGAAAAAGTATATTTAGACTGTATGGTCCCTTGAAAGCAAGTTTTAAATGAATATCTGATGTATATTCCTGTAACATTGCATTTTTATCTGAGGAATGATGTTATTAAAAAATGCAAATAAATTGCATTTCCTACTGTTGTGTTTCTTTCACTTTCACAGTTTGTCATTCAAACACACGAGGGAGGACTCACACCAGGAGTCTGGGACCTGGACTTACACACTGAGACTCACCTTTGGACTATGACAGTGTTGACAGCAGTGGCAGAGTGGTTAACACTCCTGCAGCTACAGTATCAGTATCAGCCTACAAAGAGCAAGTGTATAAACTATAAATATAGAATAATTAATAGATTTTAAAAGGTGCTCTATGTAACGTTCAGCTATCTCCATGCAAATGCTTAGTCTGATCTCGCAGCATTAGGATTCATTCGCTCGACTGTAGGTGGGTACGTTTTTATTTAAGCGATCGGTGCTATTTGGTCGTGATGTATGTAATACACCACTAACAGGGCTAACTGGTATATTAAGCTTTTCCCAAATCCTGCAGGAAGAAGGGAAATAACGTCTTTCCCCTTGATAAAATTCACTAAACATTCTCTTTGTTCCAGCTTTAAATCCTCGATCTCAGGAATCGTTGACAACACAGAATTATATGACTCTTCACTGACTGGCCTGTTGCCTGAACTTGCACTTCCAGAGTTTTTGCGAACCATCTAGTGTATTTTGATTCCTGACCTAGTCGCTGAAATTGAGCGGAGGCACTAGATGGCTCCTAGTTCCACAATATGGCATTACACCAGGCCAAGTTACAGTTCAGATCTATGGAGAGATGACTCATTTCACTTTAATGTTTTAAAAGTAGCATATTTTTTTGCACATTAAAGACATGTGCAGTTTGAACTTAGATAATGAGATAACTTTAGTACCATAAAGTGAAAAGAAAAGTAAAATCCTGTGAATGTAGGCAGACGCCCCGCCCAGAAAAATTACATTGAGCACCTTTAAAATGAAAGTACTCAACTGAAAACAGATAGTTACACTTTTAGACCTACTGTGACAACTTATGTATGTCGACTCTTTCATTTCAGTCTATTGCCCTCAGTGTTTTCTGTGTTTTGTGTTTTTGTTTTGTTTGTTTTTTGTATTGTGTGAGTTGTGTGTGTTTTCTGTGTTGTGTGTGTACTCTCGTGTAGTAAATAGTCTCGTATCACGTGACGCGGCGTCCAGCGGAACACCTCTCCCCGCGCGCACACGCCCTGCGCCTGCCCCCACACACCGCGCGCTCATCCCGGGCTGCTCCAGGCGCACACACGGAGGACTCCCGGAGCAACACACCGCCTCGTACGTGTCCAGAATGAGGTCGGGACTCGGGACAAACCTCAAACCAAACTTATAACCGCGTGGGGGGAAAGTTTACGAGGCGACGTCGTGACGCTTTCTCGGCGCCAGAATGGGGGGAAGACGCAGAGCTCCACCTGGACGCGACGAGGACTTCACCTTCGTCAGCCCCGTGGTCAAATATCTGCTCTTCATTTTTAACTTTTTGTTTTGGGTAAGTGCAAACCTTTTCATATCATCTACAGCGCTACAACTTACAAATCTGTCACGTTGTTTCCCATGAACCTCGTGTGTGCCAAGTTATCTGTTAACTTTTGTTTATTTGACCTGAGTTAGAGTTTAACTTTGGAGTGAAAAGTGAACCCAGCTTTTATCAAGACACCAGCTCTACCCGTGTGATCCTGTGTGATGGGAATATTAAAAATAGTCATACATACATTTGTAGTAAACACAGAAGCGAATTAAAGGTGCAGTGTGTAACTTTTCGGGTGGAGTCTCTGCCAGATGTTATTGTTTTGAAGATTTTGAGCTTTGGAGATGAGAGACCAGTGTTGAGAAGGTTACTTTTAAAATGTTTTCTCCTACAGATTACATAAATGTAGTTTGTAACGGAGTCCATTAAATTACTTAAAGTGAGTAATGTAATCTGAATACTTTGGATTACTTGATTTGCTGTAGAGAAGCAAAGACGAGGATATTGTAACATGAGAAGTTTTGTCTGATAAAAGAAAATAAAAAGCCCAGACTTTACTTAACCAAATTAAAAATATTATTGATAGAAGAGGAGACACGGTTTTAGACCTGGTTTAGACCTGGCTTTAGTCCTGGTTTAGATCTAGTTTAGACCTGGTTTTTGTCCTGGTTTAGTCCTGGTTTAGACTTGGTTTAGACTTGGTTTTAGACCTGGTTTAGATCTAGTTTAGACCTGGTTTTAGTCCTGATTTAGTCCTGGTTTAGATTTAGTTTTAGTCCTGGTTTAGTCCTAGTTTAGACCTGGTTTAGTCCTGGTTTAGACCTGGTTTAGTCCTGGTTTAGACCTGGTTTAGATCTAGCTTGGACCTGGTTTTAGTCCTGGTTTAGATCTAGTTTAGTCCTGGTTTTAGTCCTGGTTTAGCCCAAAATGTGAAAACAGGAAAATACCATCCTGTAATCCATTTATTTCAACAAAGTAACTGTAATCCAATTACCACTTGTTGAAACAGTAACTGTAACCAAATACAATTACTCATAATTTGTACTCTGATTACGTAACTCTGGTACATGTAATCTGTTACTCCCCAACACTGTGAGAGACTAATAATAAAGTGTTACTCAAACATGTGTGAATGAAACAAAACACAACTCCAGGTCTGTTTTTGATGAAAAAACAACATTATAACATGACTTAAATCTCACAAAATCTACTTTTGTGTAAGAAGACTGTTAAATTACAGTTTTTTATTGCTAGAAACTGTAAAATAATCCGTAACTTGGCTTTGTATCACCTGCTTGCCTCAATTTAGAGTTTACTGTCATACGGTGTAACGATGTCCTAGTCTCACGATACGATATAATCACGGGACGAAACTCACGGTACGATATTTATTGCGATATCGTGGGAAAGCTCACGATTAGGGATGTAACAATATCCAAATCTCTCAGTATGATATTTTCACGACATACATCTCACGATATTTATTTTGTGGAGGCTAATATACGACTTTTTCCTCTTTCCTCTGCCTTGACAAGACTTAACCCAATGAACTAAGACTTAAAAGTGCTTAGAACTGTTATTTCTTCTTGTAGTCTGCACTGAAATGGAGCAAAGGATCATGGTCTATGTAGTTCTCTCTGTTTTTTTTAGCTATTGCTGCACCATAACTCTTAATTTAAGCAAAGAGACTTGGAATTCGATATATTGTGATGATCCACGATATTATTGTGAGAACTCTAACGATACGATATCACGATGTTTAGTTTATTGTTACATCCCTACTGTGGAATATTCCAGGTAAAGAAACACCATCTCCATGGAGACAAGCAGGTGATGGACCCTTCTTCGGAAAAGTTGTAGTGCATTATGTAGTGCAGGGGTCATCAAACTAAGGCCCGCGGGACGACTCCGGTCCACCACACCTCTTTAACAGGCCCCCCAGCACCACTTGAACTGGCCCTGTGAGACAATCCTCAAAAGTTGTCATGGCCTATTTTTTTTTTTATTACTTTTTGGAATAATAACACGTCTATATCTTATATTTTGTTGATTTTTTTCAATTAAAAATGATATTTCTATGAAGTATTTATATCTATATTTAAATAATTATATGACGTGTTTACATTTGCCACAGAATTTGCCTCCAAATTTTCATGATCTGACAAGCTCGAGATTAAACAGTAACAGTCGACGTACGTGCAGAGTTCTGTAGTGCAGCTAAGGACAGCAAAATGAAAAGTTGACAGAGAGTGCAGAGTTTTCAAAGAACAGTGAACGACGGATTATTTTTTTGTTCAGTGTAAGAACCGTGCAGTTTGTCTGATATGTAAAGAATGTGCGGCGGTTTTCAAAGAATATAATCTGCGTCGTCAGGGTCGTACAAATTTTCTAAAAATTTGTTATACGGCCGACATGACCCCGGCCCTCATCACAGTCAGGAGCGATAACGTGGCCCCCAGAGAAAAAATTTTAGTGTGAAGTGTCTTACCCGATGACAAAAGCAATAGTTTGCCGGTAATAGGCGAGTTTCAGCTGACGTCATTGTTATTAAAAGCCCGCGTTGCATGCTGGGAAATACTTTGGTCGGAGGCAAGAAACACAGTAGCGTCAAACACAGTGCGTAACCTCGCGTATTTATCCCCGATAATGGTAAATTCCTGCTGCATTATCGGATGCACAAATAGAAGCACGGAAGAAGGAAAATGTCTTTTTCGTATTCTGAGTGAAAAGAACCGCTAACGGTGAATTAAACGGCTTTCAAACATTTGCAGAGCAAATGTAGAAGATCCTAACAAACCGTGGACTCCAACAAGTTCAACAACACATCGAGACTCTTGGAGGTTTTCATCTTTTCTGCTGTGAATGGCCCAGGAGTTTCCACCAAGTCATTGTGGATATCACCAAAGTGAATATTTGTCCAGGTAGTTGGCGATTCTGACCAGAAATTTGGTTTGGTCCACCTTTTTTCGGGGTTGAAAAGGGTGATTTGGCTCCATTGATGCTTATGACCAATTTCTGGTCAAAGGTCTTGGGTCCTCTGCTGTTAGACTGGATAAATAACCGGGATCAATACCCTTTACGTGCTTTCTCGCGCCGTCCGTCATGTTGAATTAGTGTTTCTTGCCGCCGACCAAAATAATTCTCAGCATGCAACGCGTGCTTTTATCAACAATGAAACTCGCCTATAGGGATGAAACCGTTAACAACCTAAACAAATTATTGATTATAGCTTATAGACGCTTTAAAATCCTGTCACCAAAATGTAAAAAATTCTGAAACGGAGGCGACTGGAGCCAAAGTGAAGCAAGCATAACATATTTTCAATGATTAACTGATGAGCTGATCTAAATGCTCATCGTTTTACAACATTATAACAAAAAAAAAAACAACCATTTTGAATTTCCAAGCTACGCATTTTAGTTCATTTGCTTCTCTGTTAAGAAGGATGGAAAAATACAAAATTTCTAACCCCAAAGTTGTATTTTAGCTTCACAAAAAGTATAATTTATGATGAAATGTTTAATATATTGGTAGATTAAATGAAAACTGTAGTGGGCTCAACTTTTCTGTGAGGATTTGCCCAGTAAATTCAAAATCTGGATCTTTCCTTTGTCAAAAATGTTGCATAATCTCTTCTTAAGTTAACAAATAACGTAAAACACATTTGTAAATGTTTTTAAACTAGGCTCTGATACGTGTCTGAGTGGTTTTCATTTACAGAATTTCACTTGATTTTTCGTATTTTTTGATATTCTGAAGTCAATCCCAGTTTTCACATTATGTTCCACTTCACTTTTGCCTCTCTTCTGATATTTCGAAAGTTTTTGTTTACAATTTTTTGAAGGATCTATGGGAAAATCCTTGCGCTAAATGACCAAGTTTAAACAGGACACATATTTTAAAAGTGTTTTGAGGTGGTAATTCGCGGTAGTAACAGATCATCAGGTTGAGTCATTTCATTCTCATCTAGGGCTGGACAATTTTGGTAAACACTCAAATATTTTTGGAACCCCTTCCTCCAATCTTTCAGTTTGAAAAAAGATGACAAATTTACAGTCAGCAATTCAGAACGAAATATTTTAATGATCATGTGAGGCTGCATATTTTACTTTCGGAGTCAGATAAGATAAGGCTGAGTCTTGTCGTTCCCATCTTCAGGAATATACGTGTTTACAGCGAAGAAGCTTCTCTGAGTCATACTTATAAACAGTATTAGGAATGGGGCGAAACACGATTTACACAAGACGAGATTGAGTCCACGAGAAGGAGACAAGATGAGATTCTAATGTAATTCCTAATCACTGTTGGGCAAGTTACTTTAAAACTGTAAAGTGTTATTTATGACGTGTTACTGTCATTTCAAAGTAATTCTTTATATTACAATATCACTGTGTTTAAAATGTAAAACATACACGACTATTGCAGCACTTTAAGTTACTCTCAACAAAATAACTGTGAAGATGCTGAACTTTTTCGCTGTATATGGACTGAACCAGGACTAAATCAGGACTAAACCAGGACTGAACCAGGAGGACTGAACCAGGACTAAACCAGGTCTAAACCAGGACTGAATCGAGGACTAAACCTGGACTAAGCCAGAACTGAACCAGGATTAAACCAGGTCTAAACCAGAACTGAACCAGGACTAAACCAGGTCTAAACCAGAACTGAACCAGGACTAAACCAGGTCTAAACCAGAACTGAACCAGGTCTAAACCAGGTCTAAACCAGAACTGAACCAGGTCTAAACCAGGTCTAAACCAGAACTGAACCGAGGACTGAACCAGGACTGAACCAGGACTGAACCAGGACTGAACCAGGACTGAACCAGGACTAAACCAGGACTAAACCGTGACTAAACCGTGAACTGAACCAGGAGGACTGAACCAGGAGGACTGAACCAGGACTAAACCAAAACTGAACCAGGTCTAAACCAGGTCTAAACCAGGACTGAACCGAGGACTAAACCAGGACTGAACCGAGGACTAAACCAGGACTGAACCAGGACTAAACCAGGACTA